TTTCACCATAATGTATATCAGTATGGAACTTTTTGACTTAATCCTACTCTGTCAGATTTCTTGGATGTGTGCATAGATGCATTCCTTTTATTATATTTGGGGAGTTTTGAGCCATTATATCTTCAAATATCCTGTCCCCTTCTTTCTTCTTTCCTTCTAGAACTCCCATTTTGTGTATATGAGTAATGTCGGTAGTGTCTCACAAGTCTCGAAGGGTCTGTTCCTTTTTTCCTTATTCGTCTGGTTTCTGTTCCTCAGACTGAATAATTTTATTTTCCCTATCTTCAAATTCTCTGATTCTTCTTCCTCTTATCTCTGCTCATATCTACTATTGAGCCACTCTAGTGAATATTATAATATTTTTTTAGTTTTTATCTCTATTGTATCTTTGTATTCCTTTTTTATAATTTATTTTTATTGCTATTCTCCATTTATTGAGACATTTGTTTTCCTGATGTCCTTTAGTTCTTTTCCATGGTTCCTTATATCTTTGAGCATTTTTTAAATAGTTAATTTAAAGCCTTTATCTAGTAACTCCAATGTATCCTTCCTCAGAGATGGTTTTCATTAATTTCTTTTCTTTTTTCCTGTGACTGGGCCGTACTTTCTTATTCTTTGCATGTGTCTTAATTTTTTGTTTAAAGCTAGACAGGAAAAAAAAATGATGACCAGAAAAGAATAAAAAATAAAATGCTCTCCAGATCTTTGTAGATTGGCTCTCTATTGGGACCTTCCTTTAATGCTTATGCAGGTCCTTTTACAGTTGTGCTGTAGCTTTCACTTCCTCCTAGAGCTGAGCCTAAAGATCACCTGCTATGGAAGCTTATTGTCTCCATGGGTCTCTTCTCCCCAGGCTCAGGTAATGGCTTTCTAGGTGCCTCAGTGTGTAAGGGAGCTTTTCAAAATCCTTATTACTCAAAATGGACCATTATGCAATAAGTATATGCCCAGAAATTAATTAATTTTTTTCTTTTCTGCAGTTACAGCTAGATCACAGAGCAACATCCCCCATCACAAGATTCTTCTGTTTAGTTTTGTTTTGTTTCCAGTGCTGGGGATGGAACCTGGGGCCCTGTGTATGCTAGGCAAGCACTCTGCCATTTAACTGCACCCCCAGCCCTCAAAATTTCTTCCACGTTAAGAGTTCAGATTTGTTTGTTGCAGAACACAAATTGTGAGGAAACATTTAAAATGTCACGAAGATAGCTTACAAGAATTTTAGCCTAAAATATTTTTCACAGATCAAATCCTCAGATCAAAGATTACATGGGATTTTTACATATACTAGAAATATGTTGGCATGCCTATAATCCTAGTGGCTCAGGAGGCTGAGGCAGGCAGTTCCTGAGATCAAAGCCAGCCTCAGCAAAAGTGAGGTGCTAAGGAACTCAGTGAGACCCTGTGTCTAAATAAAATACAAAACAGGGCTGGGGATGTGGCTCAGTGGTTAAGTGCCCTTGAATGCAATCCCCAGTACCCTCCCCTCAAAAAAGTGTTGGTTTATCTGAAGTTCAAGTTTAAGTTTTGTATCCTATATTTTTGTTTGCTATATCTAGCAACCCCTTGCCTACAGCCATATTTTTTTAAAAGCAGGTGTTTTAAAAATACAGAAGTATAAATATCAGAGCAGGGGCTGGGGATGTGGCTCAAGCGGTAGCGCGCTCGCCTGGCATGCGTGCGGCCCGGGTTCAATCGTTCAATCCTCAGCACCACATACAAACAAAGATGTTATGTCCGCCGAAAACTAAAAAATAAATATTAAAAATTCTCTCTCTCTCTCTCTCTGTCATTCATATATATATATATATATATATATATATATATATATATATATATATATCAGAGCAAATGAAAAGGGTGAAGCTTAATAAAAACAAATCCAAAAGCAGGTCTGGAAGGATTTTTCAGTGGTTGTCTCCCAATGTATCCAAAGTCTGTTTTCTTTTTTTTTATTCTAATTTGTTATGTATGACAGCAGAATGCATTACAATTCATATTACACATATAAAGCACAGTTTTTCATATTTTTGGTTGTATACAAAATAGAGTCACACCATTTGTGTCTTCATACATATACTTAGGGTAATGATGTCCATTTCATTCCACCATCTTTCCTTCCCCCATGCGCCCTCCCTTCACCTCCCCTTCCCTTTGCCCTGTCTAGAGTTTGTCTGTTCCTCCCATGCTCCCCCACCCAATCCCATTATGAAACAGCATACTTATATCAGAGAAAAACTTTGGGTATTTGGTTTTGAGGATTGGCTTACTTCACTTAGCATTATTTTCTCCAACTCCAACCAGCAAATGCCATGATTTTATTCTCTTTTAATGCTGAGTAATATTCCATGTGTATATACCACATTTAATTTATACATTCATCTACTAAAGGGCAACTAGTTTGGTTCCACAGTTTAGCTATTGTGAATTGTGCTACAATGTGTTTATACATTGATGTGGCTTTGTCCCTGTAGTATGCTGTTTTTAAGTCCTTTGGGAATAGACCAAGGAGAGGGATAGCTGGGTAAAATGGTGGTTCCATTCCCAGTTCTCCAAGAAATCTCCATACTGCTTTCCATATTGGCTGCACCAATTTGCAGTCCCACCAGCAATGTATGAGTGTGCCTTTTTCCCCACATCCTCGTCAACACTTATTGTTGTTTGTATTCTTAATAGCTGCCATTCTGACTGGAATGAGATGAAATCTTAAGAGTAATTTTGATTTATATTTCTCTAATTGCTAGAGATGTTGAACATTTTTTCCTATATTTGCTGATTGAATGTATATCATCTTCTTGACTCATTTTTTGATAGGGTTATTTGTTTTTTGGTTTTAAGATTTTTGAGTTCTTTATATATCCTAGAGATTAGTGCTCTATCTGATGTGCGTGTGGTAAAATTTGCTCCCAAAATGTAGGCTCTCTGTTCACCTCACAGATTGTTTCTTTTGCTGAGAAGAAGCTTTTTAGTTTGAATCCATCCCATTTATTTTTTTTAATATTTATTTTTTAGTTTTAGGTGGACATATATCTTTATTATATTTTTATGTGGTGCTAAGGATCAAACCCAGTGCCTCATGCATGCTAGACAAGCACTCTACCTCTGAGTCACAACCCATTTATTGATTCTTGACTTTAATTCTTGCGCTATAGGAGTCTTATTAAGAAAATTGGGGCCTAATTGACATGATGGAGATTGGGGCCTACTTTTTCTTCTATTAAACTCATCGTCTCTGGTCTAATTCCTAGGGCCTTGATCCACTTTGAGCTGAGTTTTGTTTATGGTAAGAGATAGAGGCTTAATTTCATTTTGCTGCATATGGATTTCCAGTTTTCCTAGCACCATTTGTTGAAGAGGTTATGTTTTCTCCAATATATGTTTCTGGCACCTTTGTCTAATATCAAAGATAACTGTAATTATGTGGGTTTGTCTCTGAGTCCTCTATTCTGTACCATTGGTCTACCAGTCTCTTTTGGTGCCAATGTCATGCTGTTTTTGTTACTATTGCTCTGTAGTATAGTTAAAGGTCTGTATAGTGATGACACCTGCTTTTCTCTTCTTGCTAAGGATTGCTTTAGCTATTCTGGGTCTCTTATTTTTCCAGATGAATTTCATGATTATTTTTTCTATTTCTATGAGAAATGTCATTGGGATTTTGATTGGAATTGCATTAAATCTGTTGTGTGTGTATGTGTGTGTGTGATACTGGGGATTGAACCCAGGGCCTTGTACATGTGAGGCAAGCACTCTACCAACTGAGCTATATCCTCAGCCCATGTATTAAATCTGTGTAGTGCTTTTGATAGTATGGTCATTTGACAGTATTGATTCTGCCTATCCAAAGAACAACACAGATCTTTCCATCTTCTAAGGTCTTCTTTAATTTCTTTCTTTAGCATTCTGTAGTTTTCATTGTGGAGGTCTTTCACCTCTTTCGTTAAGTTGGTTTCCGAGTATGTATGTATGTATGTATGTATGTATTTATTTATTGGTGCTGGGGATTGAACCCAGGGCCTTGTGCATGAGAGGCAAGCACTCTACCAACTGAGATATATACCAGCCAAGTTTTTTTTTTTTTTTTGAGGCTATTGTAAATGGGGTAGTTTTCCTCATTTCTCTTTCAGAGGGTTTGACACTGATAGAAATACCTTTGATTTATCGGTGTTGATTTTATATCCTGCTACTTTGATGAATTCATTTATTAGTTCTAGAAGTTTTCTGGTGGAATTTTTTGGGTCTTCTAGGTATAGAATCATATCGTTAGCAAATAGTGCTAATTTGAGTTCTTCTTTCCCTATCCATATCCCTTTAATTTCCCAAAGTCTGTTTTCTTGAAGTGAATTAAAACCAACTTTCCCACAATGAATGTCCCATTATGTATAATTATAATGCAATATTTAAAAAAGAAAAATAGAAAACTTTCCCCAAAGGAAGACTATTGTTCATTGCAGATGTATGGGAATACTACAGAATGGAACTATTTTAAGTTTTAAGGTTGGAATGAAGCACATTTGACTAGGAATAAAGGTGAGAAGGTCCACCTACGGACAGAAGATGGCCAAGTGGCCAAAATCTATCAAACTCAGAATTTATCTTTTAAGTAGAATTAGTGGCTATCAATTGAAATAAAACAGTGTCATAAACTTGTGGCCGTAAAGAAATATCTATAACAGATTATAGCTTCTTAGCCTTATAGATAATTTTTCAAAGAGTTAAGTTAAAGCTTACTTGCTTCCTTGCTCCTCAGCTTCTGAGAATTCTTCCAAAATTTCACTTTTTGCAAAACACCTTTATAAATCTCTGAAGTCATATAAATTAAAAAAATAATAATAATATAAATAAATAAATAATAAAAAATTAAATAAATCTCTGAAGTCTAAAATATAGCTTTGTACAATACTGGTTTTAAAGAACCTGATTTTTCTTTTATCTCATGGTATAAACTAAAAAGCTTGGTACATTTTATTTAAGACATAATGTTTGACATGTACTTTATGTTACAGGCGGTGAGGTCACTCAAGGAGACAATCGAAGACTGTTGGGACCAGGATGCAGAGGCTCGTCTTACTGCGCAGTGTGCTGAGGAAAGGATGGCTGAACTTATGATGATATGGGAAAGAAACAAATCTGTAAGCCCAACAGTCAATCCCATGACTACTGCTATGCAGAATGAGCGGTAAGGCCCTGAGGGGTTTGACAACTATATCAGTATTAGAAACTTAGACCAAACAAAAAAACAGGAAATAAATACTGCTAAGCCAACCTAATAAGGCAGTGACTAACTCATACTTTGTAAAGTTTCGATTTTTCTTTTACTATCTCCATTTTTCTACTGAAAAACATTTATTTGGTATGAGTACAAGATGGAATCTGTATTTTTTACATCTGAAGATAAAGAAATTACCCTTTTTTAAATATTTATTTATTTATTTATTTTGAGAGAAAGAGTGAGAGAGAGATCTTTTTTTTTTTTTTTTTTTTTTTGTAGATGGACACAACACAATGCCTTTATTTTTATGTGGTGCTGAGAATCGAACCCGGGTCCCGCGCACACTAGGCGAGCGTTCTACTGCTGAGCCACAATCCCAGCCCTAATATTTATTTTTTAGTTTTAGATGGATACAATATCTTTATTTTATTTTTATGTGGTGCTGAGGATCAAACCCAGTGCCTCACGCATGCCAGGCGAGCGCACTACCACTTGAGGCACATCCCGAGCCCTGAGATTACCCTTTTTAAAAAAAAAAAAATTTAGAGGGCTGGGGATGTAGCTCAGTTGGTAGAGTGCTTGCCTCACATTCACAAGGCCCTGGGTTCAATCCCTAGCACCACAAAAATAAATAAATAATATATATATTTTTAAGTTGTAGATGGACACAATACCTTTATTTTATTTATTTATTTTTATGTGGTGCTGAGGATTGAACCTAGTGCCTAACACATGCTAGTTGGCAAGTGCTCCACTACTGAGCCAAAACCCCAGCCCCGAGATTAGTAATGCTTCAATTTTCCTGAAGTAATGAAAGTAAAATAATTTTATAGTTCAAAAGGTTTATAAGTCTTTCTACATATTGTCTAATATACCCAGTATGTTATTATTCCTTCTTCCTCTGAGTTTTTTTTTTTTTTTTTAATAAAGGATACCGTGAACCTGCCTATATATCTAACTGTTTTACTGAACACTGAGGTTTGAAGACTTCCTATCCAATACTCGTTCATTTTTCTTTTTTCTTTTTTTGCAGGGGGGATACTGGGGATTGAACTTAGGGGCACTCAACCACTGAGCCATATCCCCAGCCCTGTTTTATATTTTATTTAGAGACTGTGTCTCATGAGTTGCTTCATGCCTTGCTGTTGCTGAGACTGCCTTTGAACTTACGATCCTCCTACCTCAGCCTCCTGTGCTGCTGGTATTACAGGCATGAGCCACCATGCCAACTCCAGTGCTCTTTCTTAATAAATTCTAGCATTCTTTCTGTTTTGCCATGAACATTGTTTTATGAGATGTTTCCTTTGTTAGAACTATGAATTGTTAGTTCTAAATTAAAAGGCTTTAAAAAAAATTCCTACAACTTGAAACTTTTAGACTGACTCATCTCTAGTTCTGTGTTCCATATTTAGGAGGAACAGACCTTCCTATGAATTTTATCTAATACATGTTTAAAAATTTCAGAGAGGCATCCAGGAAAGAATTACCAGAGAAAATTGAGATTAAAAATATACTTCATTGTTGAATCATTTTCTTTGCTATTTTCTCTTCTTCTCTTTTCTAAGAGGAATTTGTATTATGAACTATTTGTACTACTTATACATAGATCAAATCCATTTCGGATATTTTATATCAATAAGTCAACAAAGGGGCTTGAGTTGATAGCTCAGCGGTAGAGCGCTTGCCTTGTACGTATGAGGCACTGCATTCGATTCCCAGCACCACATATAAATAAGCAAATAAAATAAAGTTCCGTAAAAAACTTTTAAAAAATTTTTAAAAAATAAGTCAAAGAAGGTAGAGACTAGTACTTCTTACTATAAATTCTCTCACTCTACCAATATCTGAGGAAGGCTTGTTCCCATCTCTTTTTGTTCTAATTTTCATTCTAATTTTCTAATATGCTGTTTATACCTGTTTGAAGAGTCAGCTAAAGCTTTTACATTAAATGCTTTTGAACTTTTCTTGAATAGTAAGAAGAAACTCTTGATGCTTCCCTTTGGCCTTTCCCCTGACTCCTGTGTATTCAGCTCTACTCTCTAAGTATTGCTTCTCATCTCCAGTGTCTGTTATAGATTCCCCTAAATCATAGTCCATTCCATATTCATTCTTATTCTAGGTTTTATTTTATTGCATCTTAACCTCTATACCTACTTAGCTTTCTTTTTTATGTATATATATATTTTTTACTAGTTGTTGATGGACCTTTATTTTATTTACTTCTTTATATGTGGTGCTGAGAATTGAACCCAGTACCCCACACATGCTAGGCAAGCGCTATACCACTGAGCCACAACCCCAGCCCTAGCTTCCTTTTCCTGTGACTCTGTAACAGCCTTTTCTTCTCTGTTTTCCTGTCATTTCTCTTATAACTTCATCAGACTTCTATTATAATACCTCTTTTCCTTAAGCATCTGCTTCTCTCCTATAATAGTTTTATCTGTTAATGTTCCCAATATTTGTACCTTTATTGTTTTAGTTAAAGCTATCCCTGGTTTTATTTTAGTGAGATCTTATATAATTATAAATGTGTTACAATGCACTGGTCAAAAACCACCACTTCTGAGGAATGATAATGATTGTGACAAACCCTTGATAACTAGAGAGCAGTTTTGAATCTTTGAGCTTTTTGTTTAAATATTTTTAGTTATAGATGGACACAATACCTTTATTTTATTTATATGTGATGCTGAGGATCAAACCCAGTGTCTCACATGTGCTAGGCAAGTGTTCTACCACTGAGCTACAACCCCAGCCCTTCTTTGAGCTTTTGTCTGAATGTCATTTGATCCTTTATCTGCCTCATAGCCTAGGCTGCAGGACTTTCACTGATTTTGCTTAGACTACCCCAGAAAAAAATGTTCTGTTGCTAGACTGTGCCTCTTAATTGGAACTCTTTGAAGCAACCTAAAAACTTATTAGTTTTATCATTTGGCTAATATAACAATTTATAACATATTTGTTGAGTAAGCAGTGGATATTGGGTTATGAAAATATGAAATAAACTTATGCCATGGTTCCTTCTCTTAACAAAACATAATGTTTAGTTGTATAAGTATATAGTTTGTAAAGGTATATTTGGTAATGTTTTAAAATTATAGGGGATATTTTTAAGTTGACTCTTAAACCAAAATTAATGAGCATCTATAAAAGTCTAGATTCATATAGATTTTTCAGTAGTCTTAATTCACATAAAATTAGCATTTAGCAGGTTATTAATACTTGATTATTTTATTAGACCTTTTAAGTAATATAAGTTAGCAGCTCAGCCTTTAAAATCAGTGGTTTTACTTGAAGAGATTATTTGTCGTAAATGTACATTCTCAATGTCACACTTTTTTTCTTTCTTTAAGCAACCTGTCACATAATAGGCGTGTGCCAAAAATTGGCCCTTATCCAGATTATTCTTCTTCCTCATACATTGAAGATTCTATCCATCACACTGACAGCATTGTGAAGAATATTTCCTCTGAGCACTCAATGTCCAGCACACCTTTGACTGTAGGGGAAAAGAATCGTAATTCAATAAATTATGAACGACAGCAAGCACAAGCTCGAATCCCCAGCCCTGAAACGAGTGTCACCAGTCTGTCCACCAACACAACAACCACAAACACCACTGGTCTCACTCCAAGTACTGGTATGACCACTATATCTGAGATGCCATACCCAGATGAAACAAATCTCCATGCCATAAATGTTGCACAGTCAATTGGGCCAACCCCTGTCTGCTTACAGCTGACAGAAGAAGACTTGGAGACTAACAAGCTAGACCCAAAAGAAGTTGATAAGAACCTCAAGGAAAGCTCTGATGAGAATCTGATGGAGCATTCTCTTAAACAGTTCAGTGGGCCAGACCCACTGAGTAGTACCAGTTCTAGCTTGCTTTACCCACTCATAAAGCTTGCAGTAGAAGTGACTGGTCAGCAGGACTACACCCAGGCTGCAAATGGCCAAGCATGTTTAATTCCTGATGTTCCACCCACTCAGATCTACCCTCTCCCTAAACAACAGAACCTTCCTAAGAGACCTACTAGTTTGCCTTTGAACACCAAAAATTCAACAAAGGAGCCCCGGCTAAAATTTGGCAGCAAGCACAAATCTAACTTGAAACAAGTAGAAACTGGAGTTGCCAAGATGAATACAATCAATGCAGCAGAACCTCATGTGGTGACAGTCACCATGAATGGAGTAGCAGGTAGAAACCACAGTGTTAACTCCCATGCTGCCACAACCCAGTATGCCAATGGGGCAGTTCCATCAGGCCAGACAGCCAACATGGTGACACATAGGGCCCAAGAAATGCTGCAGAATCAATTTATTAGTGAGGATACCCGGCTGAATATTAATTCCAGTCCTGATGAGCATGAACCTTTGCTAAGACGAGACCAACAAGCTGGCCATGATGAAAGTGTTCTAGATCGTCTTGTGGACAGGAGGGAACGGCCACTAGAAGGTGGCCGAACTAATTCCAATAACAACAACAGTAATCCATGTTCAGAACAAGATGTTCTTACACAGGTTGTTTCAAGCACAGTAACAGATCCAGGGCAATCAAAGCCCAGAAGAGCACAGAGGCCCAATTCTCTGGATCTTTCAGCCACAAATGTCCTAGATGGCGGCAGTATACAGAGTAAGTGGAGGGATCATGGACCATCTCTTAGGTATTCTTTGAAGCCATTTAAATAGCTACATAAAATCAGATTGTGTTCCAACCAGTGACTGTTTACCTTTATCACTTTGGGAAATAGAAATAAACCATTTGGTTAGGCTTCAAAAGTAATTGGACTATTGTAAGAAGAAACAATTTTATCATAAATAATTAAAAGGTCAATGTCACAATGGAAGAATTCCCAATTTAATATATGCTTTATGTGAATGCTACTTTCATGCACTTATTATGAGCAGATAGGATTAAATAAATACCAATTTAACAGCTCTAAATAACATTATGCCATTATAATTTTTGATATATTTTTTACACATATTAGCATCTGTTATACCTACATTTTTATTTTAACCTTAGTAAGTCTTAAAAGTACATAGAAATTTCAGAAAAGCGATTATGAAGAAACTATTAAAGTTGTTCTCAGTTGCTTAGTGTCATCTTTTTCAAGAGTTACATGTTGAATTCCACCTGTACTTATGGTATTGTACTATGGGCAACAGGACAACTTAAATAATAAGTTGATGCTTGGGTTTTGGCCCTAAAAGTATTACAAAACAAGATAGGAAAGCTCACTAAAATTTCTAACAGTCATCATTATACAAAATGGTTTGTCTTTAAACTGTCAATACATAAGGAAGAAAAAAAAGTCATGTTTTATGGTTGTTACAGACTATAAAATGGGCTGCAAGAAAGATACAAGTCCCCCAAAAAACCAATGTAGCCCCTTGCTTAAGTGGCTTGTGTTATAGACCAGTCGACACACCCTTATTGCAGGGCTCTGTGTCAATAAAATAGCTTGCCAGGTATGGGAAGAAAGAATTACTGGACAATTTGTACCCTAATATTTCTGTCCTTCCTCTGAAAAAAATATATGCTTAGATGCCTTTAAAATCTGATCTACTTTGAGCAGTAACTAGAATAATTTACCAAATTGGGATCTACCAAAACCAAAGAATTTGAGAAAACACCTAAGGACTTCTGGATTTTCTCCATTTATACTTGTGTATTTTCTATGTTTTATTTATTTCTCTGTAATTCAGTCAATTACAAAAATGTTTGACATAAAGAGTTTCAAAATGAATTGGTTAAATTTTGCCTAGAAAAACATTGCCTGGCATTGTGAATTTCAAGAAATTTGCATTATCGCCTTCTATAGATATTGGCTTGACCTCCCCTTGAAATTCAACCCTAACCTTTTACTTCTTAATGTTTTCTTTATACATAGTTCATTTTTCCATACTTTTATTTTCAGTAGGTGAGTCAACGCAAGATGGCAAATCAGGATCAGGTGAAAAGATCAAGAAGCGTGTGAAAACTCCCTATTCTCTTAAGCGATGGCGCCCTTCCACCTGGGTCATCTCCACTGAACCACTGGACTGTGAGGTCAACAACAATGGCAGTGATAGGGCAGTTCATTCCAAATCCAGCACCGCCGTTTACCTTGCAGAAGGAGGCACTGCCACAACCATGGTGTCTAAAGATATAGGAATGAATTGTCTGTGAAATGTTTTCAAGGTTACGGAGTGAAATTATTTTTTGCATCATTTAAACATGCTGAAGACAAAAAAAAAAACTGCTTTATCCTCCTGTCAGCACCCCCTCCCACTCCTGCAACAAGGACTTGCTTTAAATAGATTTCAGCTATGCAGAAAAATTAGCTTATGCTTCCATATTTTTTAATTTTGTTTTTTTAAGTTTTGCACTTTTGTTTAGTCTCGCTAAAGTTGTATTTGTCTGTTATGACCACAGAATTATATGTGTGTGTATCAAAAGTGGTCTCAAAATATTTTTTTAAGAAAAAAAAAGCAAAAACATTGTATTGCTGATAATCAGTTTGGACCATTTTCTAAAGGTCATTAAAACAGAAACAAATTAAGACAGGTTTGCCTGCAGTGGTGTCTGGTATCCATGTTTTATTTCTGGGCACAAGCTAGTTTATATGTTGATATGTTCTTAAACATATTATCTGTTGGACATTCTTTTCTCTTGTATTTTGTTTGAATGTGCAATAGTCTGTAGACCACAAATAAGCTTTCTTGTAAGCGCTCTTCCTAATGGGGCACACATTCTTCCATAATATGAACATTTTTCTCCCCTCATTCTTCCATAATCTGAACAGTTTTCTCCCCTATCTCCCATGCTTTTTGTAGGTCAGTTCTGTGACAGTGAATTTTGCACAGAAGAAAGCAGCTACCTGATTTCTTGCTTTCTCTCTCTTTTTGGAGAATGCAGAAACATTGTCTGAAAGGGCTCTGTAGAAGAAACTACCAAAACCCATTTTGAAATGCCATATTCTTTTAACCTTCCAAATCTTAAACATATCCTTCTGGGCATTTTAACAAGTATATTTTGATTCTGGTTTTGGAAGTTCATAAAAGAGCAGAGAACAAAATACAAGAAATCAAATATTAGTCTTTTATCTTTTAATTTTATTTTTGTATGTACATGTTCCATATTCATTTATTTAAGAAATACATTTTTATCAGAAAACATTTAGAGTTAAACTTACATGGAATTTAAGTAAGTAGGTGGTTAAGACATTATAGTTTTATAATTTCATTCTCTGAATAGGCCATCTTTGACTCAAAAAAATTACATTTTTCTTTTATTATAACTTCAAAAATAATTCATAGTTTTGAACCTGTAGTACTTTATTATGTTCCCAAGCAAAGCCTAGTGACTTTATGTGAAAATTATTTCCTTTACCCATGACCTAAAACACTGTGTAGAAAAATCATTCAACTGGCATGCCAAATCTCTATGGCAGGAAGGAATACTGCCAAACTTACCTTTCTTGAACAGGCTGAGATTTACCCTCTCTCTCTTTGCAAAACTGTGTATTTCATCCGTAGTCCTCATTTCATAATTTCTCCTGTTGCTAGTTTTTCACATAATCTCTGATATGTGAGCAGAATTTATTATTTATATTGCATTAGAATACACCTTTTAGTGATAGTAAACCCTTAAAATAATATTGTTTTTAAAGCTTCCTTGCTTCTTTGATTACTTATAATTTTTTCTAAAATAACAACCTCTGCATTTTTTTTTTAAATTAAGCACTTTCTTTCAAATAAGGGATTTTTTTTCCTAAACAAATTATATACTGACAATTTGAAAACAGTGATCTCACTTATTTTTTTCAGATTCATGGAGTACTTAATATAACATTATCTGATTAAGTTCTAAGATTTTTCTGGGACATAAAAAGTTAAGAGAAAAACATAAATCCCCAAATTTCTGATTTAGGTTCTTACCTCCTGAACAAAATATTTTCTCATTCATACTCTCTGTCTTGAGCATTTAGTAAAAGACAGCTTAAACTTCCCAGCTGGCTGTCCAAAATACTTGTGACTTATTTATATATAAGCCTTCTTATTGCCATCTGCTGTGATGTTATGAGTTAGAGATTACAACATTTACCATTTATTCAACTGGATTGCTGATTACAGGTCTTGATTCTTAGAATTAAGATTATTTTTAGTGCCCAGGATTTCCACCTTTTGTGTTTTACTGGACCTTTCTTGTGATTCAGACCTTTAACATATTTTTTAGTCTTCTGGCATATAATTTTTTTCATAAAGCTATTATCTTTTATCTTTGTGACAAATTATTTGTAGTTTTTCCCAGGAAATTTTCATTTAGTTCTCTTGTCTTTAAAATGCATTTCAGAATAGTCTTTTCAAACATTTAGGAGACAATATTGAATCAAAATAAATTACATTCCATCTCCAAGCATTAAGGATAAATGACTATCTGAGGTTTTAACTGACCTTTTCCTATCAGACGAAGAGTTCTGTATGCTCTAGTAGTAGACTTTCTATTTGGGCCAGTCCACTTTAAGTTTTTCAACATTTTTTAATGTTCAATAATAAAATGCTTTAAAAAATAACTTACCCAATTAAAATAACTGCATAGTTTCCATTTTATGCAAACATGTTTAAAACAAGTTTCTTTCCCCAGTTATTTTAGTCAACTGTTGAAAAAATAGGAGAGGTAGAAAGTACGGATCATATTAAAAATTTAGGTTAAATTATACATCAGACTTTTAGAATTTTTGTAATATATAAGGAAGAAAATCACTTTAAATGATTTAAATTATATAATTGCTAATTTTATTCATGTAACAATAAATGTTTCTTAAAGCTGATAGTTAAATGCTATCACAAAATTTTGCATTTAGAAAAGAATTTGGGTCTTTTTAAGTAAAGGGCCACTGAATTTGAAAATATGAAAACTTATTTCACTAGGTATTAATGTAACCTTAAAAGCATCATGCTAGGTAATCATACTAGGTAAGTCTAATATCAGTTCCCTTAACAAATCTAAATTGTATACCAGAATTAAGTAATTAAAAGACCTTGATTTGGATTTTGTTTACACTAAATTATTTAAATATAAATCCTAAAACCTTTTTCTTTTTTTTTTACATTTAAATATTTTCTAAAACTTTTTTCTAAATGCATAATTGGGAAAGAAAAAAAAAACTATTCCTGTAGAAAGTATGAAAAGGCACATACAGAATACTGAGAGATATATATGGTATTTAATCCTCACAGTGACCCAAATGAGCTAACGTTCCCACTTTACAGATAAGGAAAACAAAGTTAAGAGAAACTAGATAATTTGTCCAAGGTTCACATCTAGTTACAGACAAAGATGGGATTTAGCCTGTGTCTGCCTCTCTACATCTCTTATGTGTAGCACATTGCCTACATACTGTATGACAGGTTATGTATTGTACTGACATTTTTAAGAAATTTAGTCATTATATTCCAGCACAATTATGGTTTGTATTTAAGCCAAAGCAGACACCTTAATGATTTTAACAGTTAGGCAACCATAAAATGTATAGACTTGCCTATGCCTTTTGTTGCTTAAGACATAATTACTAGTTCAAAACAAAATTCAATCTTAAGTTTGCCACCTTAAAATAATTCACCTAACTCCTAGCTTTCTTATATTGCAGAACTAAAGGTAAAGTAAATTTTAAGGGAAAAGTGAAAGTAGCTTTGGGAACATTTTCCTAAAATGATTCCATACTAGATTTGGAAAAATTAAATTAGCATAGAACTTCAATCTCATCAATCCTTTGAAATTTTTAATCTTTGAAATTTCTGCATTTAGTGACTTTAGAAAATTTGTTAATCCAGAGAACTAATTGAATAGGATATGGGAAGGATACAAAGATAATATTATCTTTCACAAAGTAATGTAGCTTCCTCATATGTATTTACTTGTTCTAGAAAATGTACATTGATTCTGAATATAAAAATAACTAGAAAAGAAGAAACACTACTCAAGTAAGTATGTGTTTCAGTTGGAATTATCACAAAATTGGCAAATCTTTTTATGTAAAATATTTACAAGTTTGTCTTCTAAAGCCAAGTTAGGCCACAGCTATTATACTGAATTTTTAGTCTCTGTAAATATGTCTCCTGAAAGTCATTTAAAAAAATTGAATATGTCAATAAACTTTTTATTTTCTTTTTTTCATACTTACAGGCATGAATATTTCACTGGAGATTGTTAACTCTTAGAACTTGATGTGACGTTATATTTCTATACTACATTTTATAAATACATGTTGAACTTACTACCAGTTATATGCAGGTTATTTTACATAATTATTCACAGATTGCTTTATATATTACCTTATCTTCTTAGCAAACTGTACTCTTATAATCTGCACACTTGATTATCTAGACCAGCCATTCTAGAAATTGAGTAATAACTCCTACATACACCCCAGGAGTCTCTTTCAGACTGGGCTATTTCTAAATATTCATAGCCTTGATTGATAGTGGGTTTTTTTTCCAGCAATGAAGTTGCATTTTACCTTTGAGATTATGAACTATGCAAACTGCCCCAAACTACCTTACATGATCCCTTCCTAGATATATTCATTAAATAAATCTGGCAAATCACTGTTGGAGCTAGTTACACAAAAGTTATTATCCAAAGAAGGCTTTTCTGCATGTTTCCAGATTAACATATGAGAGAAGAGGATATCACAGAGAGTGCTCTAGTGCACCTACCCATTACTCTCCCTAAATTGCCACATGGTTTATGTCTGGTTTACTCTGTCCCTCTGCTATCTGACTTGCAGTTTTATGTGTCAGAAAAGTTTTCTGCATGTCTATTCTGTCTCCCTCTTGCTTCATTTTTAAATCCATTTCTTTACCCAGTAGGAAAAAAAGAACAATTGGTCATCATCTCCAACACTGTTACTCTAGTATACTTCAGACTTCTCAGTTAACATCTAAATCTCAGTTCTTCAAACAAAATTGTTTCAATCTCTTTAGCTTTCCTTCTCAGTTCCATTTTAATGACCTTATATTTAAGAGCACATAAAATTATATTTTACATTCTACTCAAATTAATTACTCCATTTAAGTAATAGTTCAGTAGTTTTATAGAATTGAGAGTTAGTTATCATTTGACATCAGATTCAATCATCAGACCACCAGCAAATCAGCACTTAATTTTTATATTATCTAACATTTTCTATTGTGAAGTTTTTATGATTTTATATTTTCATTAATTATAACTAAAAAGCCATGCATACAGAATTGTATATCATTTTGCCATTAAAATTTTTAACTTACATTGCAGTAAGCTTAGTATTTATTAAACCACAATGTTTTACATTTCTTTGTATCAGTTGTTGTGTTGAACACTAAACACAAGATTCATTTTTAAAAACAAACCCTACAAAAATCAGGTATAATTCCATGAACATTTTTGTAGACCACTTTTGAAATACTTATCATTGTTTTGCAACATGGACTGGACTATAACAACTTTCCTTTAACTTTTATGTGACTGATTAAAGTTGAGTGTTTGCATATAAAGAAAAATTTAAACATTTATCTCATGGCAGATACATTTGAAA